ACATTTCTGCATTTGCAACAAGTCTAAACAACTACTGATACAGTACTAACTATAATATAATATAGTTGAAATTTCTGTTAAATACTATACATCTTATAATACATATAATTTCCCATGCAAAAAAATAAATAGCTAAGTTCCTTTAAATAATGGATATTAACTGTTATTTTTATTTTTATCCAAACATTGGTTTTTTACCTACTTAATTCTCATAAATATGCTTGAAAATGTTCGGACTTGTTATCTGTGTCTTAGGCAAGGATAATTTGGCCAGAATCTTAAACTCTAAATCAACTCCCCAGGAAAATACACACAAAATTTTACATAAAAGTTTTAAGGAGTTTCTGGTACAGTGAAATAAATGATAACCTGAATGTTAAAGATTCCTCTTGCCCATTGAGTTTGAGGCCTTAGTAGAGACACAACAACTCCTTGCCTCCTTTTCTTTACACCTATTGGTGGCAATCTTGATCTTCTTACTCCCGCTGTGGGAGGTAGATTGGTACCAAGAAGACAAGCTGAGGAAGACCAGAGAATGTTTTTACCCTCCTTAAGACTTAAATCAGGACTGACTTAAACCACCCTTGCATGTTCCTTTTTCCACTTTAAGACCTGGGCTAGATCAAGATCCCATAGTGTACTCCATGTCCACATTCCCACCCCCTTGCACTGACTCTTTCACCTGGAAGGTACTCTCAGCTTCCTTTTACTGCAGGTATGGGAGAGAAGAGAATGTAAACAGGAGAGACCCAGGATTGGCATTAGAAAGGAGTGCCTCTGCATGGCTTTGTTTATAATTATTTTACCTTACTACTCAGAAGTCAGCCAACTTGAACAGTGAACTGAATGTCCCTAAGAATACCATGTGGTTATTGATCAATATCAAAGTCTTTGGGGATGGAATGGAGAATGGGGTGTGGAGAAGTGTGTGATTATCAAACTCAGTTACCTTTCACATTTGTTTACTTAAGAGACAGCTGGAGATCACCTACCTCAGGTTATACTCTGAGATAATGAAGATTAAATAGTTAAAATGGATTCAACAAGGATGTATGGAGTGCCTCTGTGGTGCCAGGGACTATTCTAGGTACAGGGAGAAATAGGGGTGAACAAAACATAATCTAATTGAGGGCAAGGGGAAGACAGACAATAAATATAATTCATATATAGTGTGTTAAAAGGAAGCTAAGTGTTTTGGAGAAAAATAAAGGTGGGTAGGAAGTAGTTTTGGAGGAAATGTTTCAGTTTTAAAAAGATTGGTTACAGGATTCTAGCCCAAAGCTTACAATACAGTAGGGGACATAGACTGGTATTTAATGTAATGTAGGTGCTCAGAAAAAGAGAGCAGGCTTCTGGTTGAGGGAACGGGAAAGCTTCACAGAAAAAGTTGGACAGGTAGGCAAGTAGAACTAGGAGAGGACCTTCTGGACATTGGAAAAACAGAGGGCATAGACAAGTCACAGCAAGTGCTTCAGATCTACTGAAGATAAAGTTCCCACAGGAGGGTGATAGGAGTTAAGACAAAAACATAAGTCGATATCATTGCAGAAGTTGCAGAAATGTTGCAAAAATCAGACCGGCAAGAAATCAAGCTCCTCTCAGAGAGTTGGAGAACTCAGGTTTATTATGCCAACAGTCTCAGAAGAGCTAGCACTCTTAAGATCTGGGCCCCGAACTCAGATGCAAATTTGCTTTTATAGGGCTTATCCATGCAGTTACATTTTGGCCAGTTGGCATGAGCCAATTGGTTAATTTGTCCTCAGGCAGTTACAAAGTACGGGAGTTGCTATGGGTTACAAGCAGTTACAAAGAGTTACAAAGCTGATTTTCAGACAGGAACTCAGGCAATACCTCTGTTATCTAGATAGAACAAACAAAAGGGAGGATAAGTCTTTAGTTAATTTCAAGGTCACCCTGCCCTTCGGTCTGTATGGCAAGCATATTTACAGAAGCTTTTTATTTATGCTTTTAACTTCTTGATAAGTTATTTTTGAGATTTGTTCATTTTATTTTTAAATTGTTGATATATAGTTGTTATTCTTTTTTTAACTTCTACTTTCTAGTTATATTTCTCTTTTCATTTCTACTGTTTGTATGTTTTTGTTCTTTTCTTGATCACTCTTGCCAGAAGTTTGCCAAAAAGCTATTTAGGGGTTTGCTGATGTTTTCTATCGTATATTTGATTTCTAAATCATTAATAACTGTGATTATTTTCATCTTTTTTCCTTCTACTTTCTGTCAGTTTATTGTTTATTGTATAATAATTCCTAAGATGGACATTTAACCCATTAATTTTGAGAGTTTTTATTGTAGCTATTTACGGTTATAGATCTTCAAAGCACCATTTTTATTTCATCCAATATGTGGTATCTTAACATTTAATTCTAAGTATTTTTAGATTTTGATTATAATTTCTTCTTTAACCCATGAGTTATTTAGCAGTGTGTTTTTTAAATCTTCAAGAAGCAAGGATTTTTTAATATATCTTTTGTTATTAACTTCTAACTTAATTGCATGTTGATCCTGTATCATGGCCTGTAAGTTATCTATTATTTAAAATTTGTTGAGGCTTTTTTATGATCTAGTATGTGATTTTAAAAAAAACTTTTAATGTATGCTTAAGAAAAAATGTGAGTATACTCTACTTGTTAGATGTAGAACTCTAATTTATTCATTGTGTGGTTCGGGTCCTCTATATTCTTGTCGATTTTATTTTTTCAGTCTACTTGAGCAATGAATATTTGAGAGAAAGAGCATTAGAAGATACACCTTAGATTTTAATTCACCAATTATCAGAGTTTGCAGAGGTTCTGAAGGACTGTCAAAGTTAGTTCCTACCTGTTTATTCTCAGCTCTTCAGCATCACAGCATTTCTGCTCTGCCCTGAACTTACTCTGAAGGAAGTTTGGACCAGATGGTGTGGAGGATGCACTATTGTCTCAATATTTGGGACAGGAGAAGCAAAAGCAGAAACTGCAGCAGTTCCTTTTCTATTTTACCCTCCCATGTTCCACCATAGGGATTTCTCATAGTTGCCCCTTTTCTTGGTACTTTTCTTACTTGGTCCCTTTGGGGTTGATCTTGGGCAGTGGGAAGCCAGAAACTATGCTAGTTCAGTATCTTGGTAGAGACCAAAATGGAACACTGTATGTGTGTATATATGTGTGTGTGTGTGTGTGTTTCCTTTTTTTTTGTTTTCTGTGTTTTGTTTTTTCAAACCTGTAGGTAGGGTAATAGAAAATAACAGGGGCCTTAATACAAAATAAGGATATGTATTATTTTGTGAAATTTTAATTCCTTGGTATGTGTGCATGCACAGATACTCATAATTATGTGTATTGGGCTGTACTGAAGATTGTACTAGTGTGGATTGTGTTGGAAAACACTGGACTAGAGAACTAGGAATCATTTTTGACACATCCTTCAGCCTTAAACCCATCTTCCTCTTCCCTAATAAATAAGATGACTGCAACACCCTCTGAGATCCATGTTCTACTTTTCCTTATTCTTACCAGAATAATCCTTTTGTAGTAGCCTATTGCCCATAGATAACTTCTAAGCTTTATAATAGAGCCCCTGCCTACTTCTCTAGCTTTATCTGCTTCCATTCCAGTATCACTTTCATCTGGCATGGGAAGGGAGGATCCTCTACTCCCACCCATTTTACCTGGTGAACTCCAGCTTATTCATTCTCACTTTGTACAGGAAGTCTTACTCTCCTACCTCCCCTGCCTCCCCTGCCCCAAATGTCCCTCCTATGTATTTCCAGAATATTCTGAACATTTCTCATTATATAGCCAGGCCATTTTTAAATCATGTTTAGATTTGTGTTTTACTTCTTTTATGGAAAAAGTTGGTTATGTTCATTTTAGTGCCTAAAATAATGTCTGGCTCATATTGGGTGTTCAAATGGCTGAATGACTGAAGATCCAGAAAGTTAAAGTGCCTTTTTCAAGATCATGTTGCTCATAAGTGACAAAATAAGACTAAAAAACAAGTGCCTCTTTTGTTGCCTCATGCTGCAGACCAGTACTCCTTCTAATACATTATATAAAACTGGATAAGTACATTTATCATGCTATATTGAATAAGTCATATTAAGCTAGTTTGCTGATGATTCAGATGATTAAATTATTGAATTTTTACATACTGTATCTATGGGAGCCTGTTTCTGCTGCATGAATAGTTTTGCATGAGGTAAAACAGTATAAGTAGATTCAAAAGTAACTTGGAAAAATCAAAATGGCCTTTTAGTGACTATATTTTGATAGGTCAGTTAAAATTTAAAAAATAATCTAATAGATTCCAGGCATATGGTTTTAAAAACTTATGTTAGCTTTAGTTTACACTATCTAAGTATGGAAATGGTGAAATTTGAAAAATTACATTGTATGAATAGCTCAATAAATGTTTGAATCAAATTTGTACATGCCAGTTCTGACATCTCATGATTCTTGTACCTTAAGGTTTTTCCATTTTCTGGAGCATATTGCAGAAATCAGTCAGGATTTATAAACTAAGACCCATTCATCAATTTATGGAAGGATAAATAAATGTATTTCAATCTGGGTGTATTTCCAATTTCAGAAGTTTTTAAAGAAGCACAAGTTTTAAAGTGAAGCATCAGAAAAAGAAAAAGAGTCAGAGCTGAAATATTCCTTAATATTATCTAGTATACTGTGTGTCTGTGTGAGAATTTTCTCAATTGTTTCAAAAAAGTGTTTTTACAGTTGGTATGTTGAAACAGGATCTAAACAATGTCCACACATTGGTTGATATGTCCTTGAGTCTTTCCTTATCTATAACAGTTTCCTCTACCTTTTTCCCCCCCTTGCCTTTTATTTATTGGGAAAAAATTTGTCCCGTTCATTTTCTTACTATGTTGCAAAGTCAAGGTAGGAACGTATTATTTTAGCACTAAGAATTCTGCATGGCACTCAACAATTAGTATTTGTTAAATACTGTTAATAACACTAAAGCTCTGTGTTTTGTCCCTGCAGGTTGATCCAAAAGACTATACATTCAGTGGGCTGAAAGATGAAACAGTAGGTCGCTTACCTGGGAAGGTGGCAGGACAACAGTTTCTCATTCAAGACTGTGAGAACTGTAACATCTATATTTTTGATCACTCTGCTACAGTTACTATTGACGACTGCACTAACTGCATCATTTTTCTGGGACCCGTGAAAGGCAGCGTGTTTTTCCGGAATTGCAGAGATTGCAAGTGTGCACTAGCCTGCCAACAGTTTCGTGTGCGTGACTGTAGAAAGCTGGAAGTCTTTTTGTGCTGTGCTACTCAACCCATTATTGAGTCTTCCACAAATATCAAGTTCGGCTGTTTTCAATGGTACTACCCTGAATTGGCTTTCCAGTTCAAAGATGCAGGGTTAAGTATCTTCAATAATACCTGGAGTAATATCCATGACTTTACACCTGTGTCAGGAGAACTCAACTGGAGCCTTCTTCCAGAAGATGCTGTAGTTCAGGACCATGTTCCTCTACCTACTACCGAAGAGCTCAAAGCTGTCCGTGTTTCCACAGAAGCCAACAGAAGTATCGTACCCATATCCCGGGGTCAGAGACAGAAGAGCAGTGATGAATCATGCTTAGTGGTATTATTTGCTGGTGATTATACTATTGCAAATGCCAGGAAACTAATTGATGAGGTAAGGAGAGAGAGAAGAGATACAGACATATACCTAAATAGAAACACACCACTTTCCAGAGAACTTCCATTTTTTTCAAATTGGCTATTGGAAATATAGGCAGTCCTTAAGTTATAGTCCTCTGTCCCCTACAGATTTATCTGTAAGCTGGTTTCTTAGGCCTCAAAATACTTTCCCAAAGAAGCTTATTAAAATATAATTCAATTCAGTATGCATTTATTAGGCACTTATTATGTGCAAGTTACTCCATTTCAATTATAGGATGCAAATTTGTTTTTGCATTTTTTTGCTATCTGAAATGCATCATACAATTAATGGCAACTTAGAGCTGTTGAAATATAGTATGTGCTGGGGGTGGAGATACATTGATAAAATTCTCTGCTCTCAAAGAACTTCTTTATAATAAATGACTTCCACAGAAGCTCACAAAAGTAGTACTGAATAGTAAAGCATGACCTTTTATAATTATTTAGTAGGGAAATTTATTTGGAGTTTTAGGAAAGACAACTTTTGGACCCTGGTGACTGTGAAAGCAACCTCCACATTACCTTTTTTATTGTCCTTTGCTCTATTGCCATGAAGGGGAGGTTGGTGGAGAAGAATGAGGTGGGAGCTGGGATAGTGGAGGTTGTGAGCTCATGAGCAGGTGAGTTTCTGAGTAGACAAGGATTTTTTGGGTAGCAGCATCCACTTGAAAAATAATGGGATGTAGAGGTTATGGGAACCTGTGTTGATGGGTGCTCCAGTGGGGAGGCAACAATATGATGTATTGGTTATCCATTAATCAGATGTTCTTCAGGAAGAGCCTGTTTGTATTTGAAAATCAAGCTTCTAGAAATAGAGAAGTGAATGGAAAACTCAGCAAGTCTATTTTTTAAAGGAATTTTTAAAAGTCGTAACAGTTCTGTCAAAAGGAACAATTTTAGGGGGGAAAAAAACTAAAAATAACTATCTCTCTGTAGCTTTACATACTACAATGTAGAAAACCCATGTCTGAAATCTACAAAGTATATCTGAGGTCTAGTTTTCAAAACAACAGAAGCCGAAGTATAATTTTAAGACTTTGATATTTTCGTTTTTGATTATACCAATCTGATGAAAGTATCATATGAATCTGGTAAGATATAGAAAAAATGTTTCTAGCCTTGGAGCTATCTAATAACACATTAATCTAACATCTGAGAGGAAAATATTTTCATTATATGCTGATTTTTTAAAACTCAACATACAGATTTCAAAAGATGTAATTATTCAGGTTTAACTCCTTTTGGTAGGTAATGAACAGTGGACATAAAGAATATACAGCATGTTTAAAGAAAAAAGCCATCAAAACAAACTCTCTTTCTTCATGAGTCATCAGACATTCTTAACCTTTTAACCTTTGGTATCTAATGTGTAAAATGGGATTGTTGTGTACCCTTAAAAGCAGTATAACCAGGAAGAGTGAGGTTCTTTAGATGTCTTTCTGGAATACAAAATAATTTAAAACAAATAAAAATATAATAATAATAGCTAACATTTTTTCATCTTTATTGAAATATAACAGACAACTAGTTGCCTGCATTTATATTGTACAATTCAATAAGCTTTTTTCTAACATTTATATAGTGTTTATACCAAGTACTATGGTAAGGGATTTAAATGAATTAACTCAATTCAGAACAACCTATGAAATAGATGTCATTATTTCTTTTTACAGATAAGGGAAATGAGCCACAGAGAGGGTAAATAACTTGCAAAAGGTCATTCAGCTGGTAAACAGCAGAGCCATGACTTAAATCCCGGCAGTGTGGCTTTGCAGGCCACATCTTAACTCTTAAGCTTGAAGCTACTATGCTGCCTCAGTGGTAAAGGAAGTTGATAAATGCCTGGTGGAGCAGGAGTGTAACCAAAAGTGCATGGAGTCAAAGCAGATAAACTACTCTTCAGCCTAGAAGGAAAAACCCTGGGACTTTTTGGCTAGAGTTATCCTATTGAATTCTGAAATCACAAGGAATGAAAATAGAACAAAAAGAAGAGAGATTACATATTTTTTTAAAATGAAGCTCAAGTTCCTAGGAAAATATGTGTAGAAGCTAGTTAATTCTGAGATGGAAAAAATAAAACGAGTCTTTCTTGTATTATAACACAAATTTCTTAGGACAACTTAGAATGAAACTGCGATTGCTAATTCTGGTTTTGTTAAACCCTACAAGTATTATAGAATTTTGTTTCACATTATTTCTATAAATTAAATATGCATAATGGTTTTTTGAGATAGGAAGTATAAAACTTAAGAGAGTAGGAAGTCCAGAAAAGCTGGGTAAAGCAGAAAACATTCAATAGGGAGTCAAAAGAAGTTACTGGGGCTTAGTTTTCTCACCTGAAAATCAGATTTCTTGCTGGCTCTTAACCTATATCACAGATATACACAGAATAGATTAAACATAGTTTGAATTGTTTAGAAGTATAGTATTGCATAATTTAAGTTGGGTAGTTACCACTATTTTCAAGTCTTTAAAAGTAGAAGAATTTTCATGAAAAAAAGTCTGCAAATATCTGCAATGAAATATTCAAATAAAGTTTCATAGTTCATTGTTTTTAGGTAATATATTGAATTAATCATCTTTTGTCAGTTTATGTGTCTGACTATAAAATGAGAGGTAATGAGCAGTCTAGAAAATTAGAAACAGATGTAGGATTTCTGATATTTTAGTAACTTTGCAGTCATCATCTGGCAGTGATGTCCATGTAATTTTCTGCTACGATTTTATGTATGTTTCTTTTTTCTGAGGTAGCATTGAGGGCTATGAAAAAGAATTTGAGTTTGAATCCAATTTGATGGAATGGTATGGAATAATGTAGTCATAGGATGAAATACTATCAGCCATTGAAACTGATTTTATAGAATAGCTGGAAAATGTTCACAGTCAAGTAAGTGAAAATTTATAGATTATGTGTCTGATTTTTTTAAGTAGATAAGTCTGGAAAATTATATATACTAAAACGTTAACAGTTACGGTTATTCTTAAGCAGATTAAAAGAAGGGTATACTTTTTTGTAGTTCTATGGATTTTACGATAAACATGTATTATTTCTGTAATGGGGGCTAAAGTAAACTGCGGGGGGTGGTAACAGGGAGTGCGTATACCTATATGGCAGTGGCATTTTTGTATGGTAGCACCTTGATTGATATTTCTGTTTCTATTTTTTGTTTTTCAAATGTACTATATTGAGCATATGTTACTTTTCTATTCAAAACTCAATAGACTTTGCTAAAAATTAAATGGTTGAATGACTGCATTTTTAAAAACTACTTTAATAACTATTTTAAAAATTAATATGTACTCTTTGCAGAAAACTATAGAAATAAAGAGTAGAAATAAGTTTAAAAATCATAATGTACTGTACTTTGAATAGTTTTTAGGAATAATTTTTAATTTATTAGGTCTGTAATCAGATTATTTGGGTTTGTAGCACAGCTTTGTTATGTAATAGTTATATGACCTTGGGCAGGTTTCTGAACCATTTTGTGCCCTAATAATAATAGGGCACAATAGTAATAATAGTATCTACCTCATGAGAGTTAAACGTATTATACACTTAAAGTACATAAAACTACCTGGTACAAAAAAATACTGCCTGGTACATAGTAAGTACTCCATAAATGTAATCTATCATTATTGTGCTATACTCTATAAATTTATATCATGCTTTTTAAAATTATATAAGCTTTCTCCCATTTTATTATTTGTTATATTTAATGAACTATGGTATTTTATCATGTCGATGTGTCATAATTTACTTAACCATTCTCCTCTCATTGGACATTTTGTAGTATTACCCAACTAAACCTTCCATCTGTTAGTTTCAGTCAAAAAAATTTTTAAATTATATTTTAAATTTTGAGAGATCATTTACGTTTATCTGACCCTTAATCTTAACAGTAGGCATTGTAGTACTAATTCTTAACCAGAACCACCCATCCAGAAGAAAGAATCTTGTATATGTGAAAACCTGTTAGAGCAGACACCCTGAATTAGAGTCGTAACTAAAACAAAAATTAGCATGCTGTTACATTTTATGCAGGAAAATACTAGACTGGGAAAATATTGTTTTTTTAATCTCGGGTCATTTTAAAATTTAAATGAAACTTTGTTTTCCACAGATGGTTGGTAAAGGCTTTTTCCTAGTTCAGACAAAGGAAGTGTCAATGAAAGCTGAGGATGCTCAAAGGGTTTTTCGGGAAAAAGCACCTGACTTCCTTCCTCTTCTGAACAAAGGTACCTTCTGGATGATTGGTATAATTTTGTGGTTATTTGCTTGACATGCTGATTTGATTTACTCTGGCCTCTAGCATGTCTTACATTGCCCTCTCTTTCTCATTTATGTTTTTCCTATTACTATTAAAAAATACCAAAATTTCACATCATTCAAAAAGCCCTATTGACTAATTAGAGACATTAGTTTTTTTCCTATTTTATCATCTTAGTATTTGAAAGCCACATTCATTACTACATATTTTATTATTTTTAATTATTTTATTATCGTTTTATTGTACTGTAGTGGATGACAATTTCATTCTCCCTGCCTTTGGAATCTGCATTTTAAAAAATTCCCCATATGATTCTGATGATTTGTCAGACATAGGTTTCTTTGTTTTAGAGGGTCATTCGTTCATTTATTCAACAAACACAATAGATAAGATCTGAGAAGTAGTGGAGAAGGAATCAGATAATATAGGGCCTTGTAGGCCCTTGTAGAGACTTTGGCTTCTAGTCTGAATGAGATGAGAAGTACCAGACATTTTAATTTGTTTTTTAAATAAACTTTTTATATCAGAATAATTTTAGATTTGTAGGAAAATTGCAAAGGTAGTACAGAGAGTTTCTATATACCCTTTACTCAGCTTCCCCCAATGTTAACATAACCATGGCACATTTGTCAACTAAGAAGTTAACATTAGTAAAATACTATTAATTTGACCTTAAAATTTATTCAAATTTCACCAGTTTGTCCACTTACATCCTTTTTCTGTTCCAGAATTCAATCCAAGATCTCACATTGCATTTAGTTGTCATGTCTCCTTAATCTCTTCTAATCCGTGACAGTTCCTTAGTTTTTCCTTGTTTTTCATAACCTTGAAACATTTGAACAGTACTGGTAAGTTATTTTATAGACTGTCCTTTGATTTGGGCTTGTCTGATGTTTTCTTTGTTTTGACTGTGATTATGGGTTTTAGGGAAGAGGGTGCATTATATCAACATGACATCACTGGTGATGTTGACCTTAGTGACTTGTTTCAGTTGGTATCTGGCCAGGTTTCCTAAACCCTGTAAAGTTCTTGTTTTTCCTTTTCTACACTCTGTTCTTCAGAAGTTGAGTCACTAAGACCAGCCTACACTCAAGGAGAAGAGAATTAAGCTCCACCTCCTAGGGAGGGGAATATCTACACACATTATTTGGAATTCTTACATTATTTGGAATTCTTCTGTAAGAAAGATTTATCCCTTCTCTCCCATTTATTTATTCAAGTATTTATATCTATCAGTAGGGACTCATGGATATGTATTTTATTCTTTGGAGTATAATCTAGTACTATCAAATTGCTCCAGTTTTAGCCTTTGGGAGATCATTTATATTGGTTCCACTGTCCCTTTGACATGCCTTTTATTTCGAACATTATTATGTTAGTTAGGACATCCATGATGGTGTTCTATAGAATAGTGAGAAGAGGACATCCTTGCCCTATTACTAATCTCAGGGTAAAAGTGTTCAGTCTCACCATTAAGAATGATGTTACTTGTCGGTTTTTCATATATACATTTTATTAGGCTAAGAGAGTTTCATTCTCTTCCTAGGCTGTTGGGTTTTTTCACTCTTGGATGTTGAATTATTTTAATGCTTTTTTCTGCATTTATTGAGATGATCATGTTTTCTACTGAGTCATTTAATCTGGTGAATGACTTCTGTTGATTTCGAATGTCAAACCAGCCTTGTATTTCTGAGATGAACCCCCATCATTAAAATGTATTATCCCTTTAATATATTTCCAGATTCAATTTGCTAATATTTTATTGAAGATTTTTACATCTTTGTTCATGAGGGATATTGGTCTATACTTTTCTTGTAATATCTTTGTCTGGCTTGATATTAGTATAATGCTGGCCTCATAAAATGAGTTGAGAAGTGTCCTTCCTCTTATGTGATCTTGAAGAGATAGTGAATTAGTATCATTTCTTCCTTAAATGTGTGACAGAATTCGCCAGTTAAACCAACTGGGCCCGGAGATTTGAGCTATAAATTTTATTTCTTTGTTTATTATAGGGATCTTCAGGATATCTTTTTCTTCTTGAGTGAATGTTTATAGTTTGTCTTTCAGAGAATTGTTTCATTTCATTTAAGTCATCAAATTTATGGGCATAGAGATGTTTATGGGATAAGTAATGATGTCCCTCTTATGTTCCTGCTATTGGAAATTTGTGTCCTCTCCCGCTCCCATCAGCCTGGATAGAGGTTTATTGTTTTGTTAATAATTTCAAAGAAGCAGATTTTTGTTTCATTGATTTTTCTCTTTTCAGATTCACTGGTGTATGCTCTAATATTGTTTCCTTTCTTTCACTTGTTTTAGGTTTTTTTCCCCGTCTTTATTGAAATACATTAGACAATTAGTTGCTTGTATTTACATTATACAAGTCAATGAGTTTTTTTTCCAATTACAGTTGGCATGCAATAATATATTAGCTTCAGTTGTATAGCATAGTGCTCAGAGATCCAAATAACTCGCAAAATGATCACCCCACTAAATTTAGTACTCCCCTTCCCCCTAACATATTTATTACAACATTATTAACCATCTTCCCCATGCTACACTCCACATCTCCATGTCTATTCTACAACTATCCATTTGTACCTCTTAATCCCTTTGCCTTTTTTGTCCCCCCAACTCCCCTCCTATCTAGTATCCCTCTAAATATTGTCTGTATCTATGAGTTTATTTCAGCTTTTGTTGTTGTTGTTGATTTTATTCTTTAGATTCCACATGTATGAGAAATCATGTGATATTTGTCTTTATCTGACCCATTTCTTTTAGCGCAACACCATCTAGGTCCATCAAGGCAATATCTTTTTCCACCCACTTCCTTTTAGTCTGTGTGTGTCTTTTAATCTGAAGTGAGTCTCTTGTAGGCAGCATATTTAGGAGTCCTGGTTTTTTATCTATTCAGCCACCCTATCTTTTGATTGGAGCACTTAATTCTTTTCCATTTGAGGTACTTGTTGATAGGAATGTAGTTATTACCATTTTCTTCTTAAAGAAGTCCCTCCAACATTTCCTGTAACACTGCCTTGGTATTAATAAATTCCTTTAGCATATTTTTGTATGGGGAGCTCTTTATCTGTCCTTCCACTCAAAATGATAGCTTCGTTGGATAAAATATTCTTGGTTGTAGATCCTGAGTTTTCATCATGTTGAATATTTTGTGCCAAACTCTTCTGTCCTGCATAGTTTCTTTTGAGAAATCAGCTACCAGTCTTATGGGTGCTCCCTTGTAGGTAAGTAACTGATTTTTCTTGCTGCTTTTAAGATTCTCTCTTTGTATTTAACGTTTGGTATTTTAATTATAATGTGTCTTTGTGTGGGCCTCTTTGGTTCATCTTTTTTTGGGACTCTGAGCTTCCTGGGGTTGTATGTCTATTTCCTTCACAAGGTTAGGGAAGTTTTACATCATTAGTTCTTCAACGTCTTGTTTTTTTTTTTTCCCCCAGTACCCCTTTGACGTGTATGTGTTTACATTTAATAGTGTCCAATAGGCTCCTTAGATTATTATTATAGTCTTGGCTTCTTTTTTCTTGCCATTCTGATTGAGTGCCCTTGGTTTTCCCATCTTCAATATAGGTCATTTGATCCTCTTCCTTATTCACTTTGTTTATTCCACTTAATATATTTCCCATCTCAGATAATGTGTTCTTCATTTCTGACTGGTTCCCTTTTATAATTTCCATTTCCATTTTTATGTTTTTTATCTCTTTGTTAAAGTTCTCACTGAGTTATCTACCCTTCCCCTAAGTTCATTGAGCACCTTTATAACCAGTGTCTTGAACTCTGCATCTGTTAAGATTGCTTGACTCCATTATTCCTGGATCTCTCTTCTGTTCTCTCATATGGTTTCTGCTTCTTTGTCTTTCCATTGTGGCTGCCTTTCTGTGTATCTGTGTACTAAGCAAAGCTCCTGAGTCGATATCGAGTGGCATAGTCCCGAGAGGGGTTCAGCTGCAGGCCAAGTTAAGCCCCCGCCTGTGCCCCTCTGGGGCCACCTGTTAAGATTCAGCAAGCAGTCCAGAGATGCTGTGCTTAGAGTTGCCTCAAGAGGCCACACCAGAAACCAAGGGCAGCTGCCACCAGTGTGAGTCCAGACTCTCCTCAGGAGGAGGCACAGGAATCGCCAAGAACACACCTGGATGTGGCTTGGGTAGAGCTGTGAGTTAGGAGAGGTGAAGTTTCAAGGGATCCTCTGGGCAGAGCAACCTCTGTTTTCCAGTTTGATGATGTCTCAGCTATGGTGGTGCTGCGTCAGCACACTGGGAGGGAGGCGGCTCAACAGAGGAGCAATAGATACCACCAGCACTTCTGCCCGGGGAAAGCTTCGCCTTCGGTCCTGAATCCAACAACTCAGTGTTCCCCTTTACTTCCCTAGTGCTCCCCAAGCAGCTGACCCAGCACTGGTGCTTAGAGTAATCAGGTCCGTCAGTAGGGAAGTCCGGTCATAGACATGGCCACTTTAGGAGGAATGCCCACAGTGCCGGCTGCTGCTGCTGTAGCCTCTGTACCACTCAGCCACTCGGACCAGCTGCCTTACGTCTTTGTCCCTTCCTACCTCCTACCTGTTACAAGGCGAATTCTTATTTCTCTCCCTAGTTGTAGGGCTTCTGTTTATCTAGACTCCAGGCTACTCTGCTTGCTGTTTGCTCCATGTTTCTGTCACAAGTTTGATATGGTCACAAGAGAGGATAAACAAAGCTTCTTTCATCTATGCCATTTTGACCGGTCTCTCCTAAAATATAACTTTTATCACTCTGGTTGCTCTAAGGGGGAAGCAGAGAGAGCACCTGGGAAGCTGTTGCTATCATCTAATTGAGACATGATAGCGGCTTATTCCAAGGTCATATTAGATTACACAGAAAAGTTCATTAGATAGGATGGACATTCAGTAATTTTTATTTTACTCAAAGTCACATCTTTTATGACAGTTTGAACATTTAGATTTAAAGCTGTGAACAACTTGATAAGACATTCACATTAAAACAATAAAAACATGACCAGTGATCTTTGTTGACCTCATAGTTCAGTTTGAAATAATCACAGTAGTTATTATTGTTAGATAGAAAGATAAATAAACACAGTGCAATATATAAATATGTATGTGTGTGTGTATACATACATATGCCTTACTGCTTAACTGTAAATCTGAAACTTACTGGATTTCGTTAACCAATGTCACTATAATAAATGAATGAATGAATGAATGAATGAATGAATGAATAGATAAGACAGCTTAAAAAGTCATTGTTAGCACTATAGTTTTTTTTTTTTTTTAATTTAGGAATATCCACACACGTTAATCAAAATTGATACTTGTACACCTCTTTTCTTAGTGTTTCTTTTATGGCAAATTATTAGGTCACTTATTGGAAGTTCATCATATTCCAGTCAAAGAATATCAACCAAGTTACATACCTGGGTAATTCTACCAAAATTGTATTTCTGAATTCCAAATTATGTTGTCTTTGTAGACTACAGGAACTTTCAGTAGTAAATCTCTGACATTAAAAAATATGTCTACTTATTTCCTTATAGTGATCCTGAATAAAAAGATACCTATTCTACCTTAATTCAAACTTTCTATTTTCTGCAATACTGGAAACTCTACATTTATTATCGACTTTTTCTTTTTAGTTCGGAATTCATTTTGTTTAAAATGCTTTTAAAATTTTTTGGCAAACTTCCAAATATACCATCTCTACTCAAAAATATAGAGTACAGTGACCCAATGTGTGCCCATCCCCCAGTTTTAGCAACTTTTTGCCATACTTTAAAAAATAATTTATACTCTTCGTTTTTGCTGGAATATTTTAATCAAATTTTGATATATCCTGTCATTTCATCCCTAAATATTACAATATGTATCTTAAATAAAATTAAAAATGTATTTTTTCTTAAGTAACCATGATATATTATCACATCTATCATGATTAACAATTCCTTAATATCATCTAATACCCAGTCCATATTCAAATTTCTCTAATTGTCTAAAACATTCTTTATGTATTTTTACAGTTAATTTGATCCGGATCTAAAATTGGCCCACTCACTGTATATGGTTTTGTATAGTTCTCCTAACCAAAAACAGGTGTTCCCCCTCCCCTGTTTGTTTCATGCCTTTGTCTTGTAGAAGAAACCTGGTCAGTTGTCCTGTAGTATGCATGGGTTTGTTTAATTTGTTCCTCTACAATCCTTGTAGACTAGAAGTTAGATCAAAGCCTTGTTTACACTCAGGGATTTTTTTTTTTTGCACAAATATTTCACAGGTGGCACTATTTCCTATATCATTAAATGAAAAGGCACATAATATTTGATCGTTGTACTTTTAGTGATGCTAATATTGATTGTTAGTTTCAGGTAGTGACAGTATTATCTTCTTTAGTTTCCTGTCAGTCTTGCCTGTGGGATGCTAAAACCATGATGATTGTTACCTGATCTAGTTATTTTATTAGGAGTTGCTAAATGATCATTTTCTAATCATGTCATTACCTCTGCATTTATTAATGGATGTTAACAGAAATTCTTGTACACCAGAGCTGTTTGGTTAACTTGAAACATGTTCCATATCATAAAAGCAGAATAAATAAAGGGAAAATAATTGTGTCAGTTTTCAGAGTAATGATTTCATACCTTAGCAACCTACATAGGTGTCCAGTGAATTTTCTCTTTTCTAAATATCATTATGAGCTCATGACTTTTTATATATTAGGTATATTTTAATAAATTGCAGTCTATTCCCCTCTGATCTCACCATGTCTCATCTTTGGCCACTGGGAACCCCTTCAAGCCGGTTCCTGTGTCCTTTTGATACAACCCCATTGGCCTTTGATATCCTCATTGCTTTTTGGCTCAACAAGATAGTCTAGGTTGATCTTACCCATATCTTGCCTCAGAGATAGAATTATCCATTTTCCTGGGGAAAGTTTCCCCAGTTACCTTCTTTTCTTTACTCAGCACCTATCTTGATCCACACACTGTGATGCTGAAAAACTCATACTTTAATTTATTCTCTGTATCTAATTGTTCAAGTGACTGTTAAATATCCTGCCTTTTGTGTATTTGTTGCCTGTATTAAATCATAGGACTTCAGTTATTTTGGTGCCCAGTGTAGTGTAACCTTTTCTCTTGTGCCTTCTTCTGTGGTACATGACTGCATTCACCTTAGTTTCATTACTTAATACTTCATTATTCTCTGTTGTTCTGCATTTGTTTAATGGGTTTATGTCTTTTTTCAAGAAATTTTAATTTCCTAGAGATCAGGACTTCTCCATTGCTATAGGAGATAAAAAGCAAATCTATTAAGAATATAGTGATAGCTGAATAAATATTAATTGAATTGAAGGGCATATTTTGCTTGGCTAACTTATGGCCATGTTTGCCAGCAGTTTGACACTGGTGGTGCCAATGCCACATTTAAATCCAAGCCAAACTAAATCATGAATCTTTACACCAGAATTTAAAGTACAGGTGGTTTAAAAGTATTCAAATTAATCTCTTGGAAAGGATACATAAATATTCTATTCGGAGAATTAAAAAAAAACTTGATCATTGGTTCTTGAATGTAGTTTTAAGGCACATTCAAGAAAAATACTTTCAGATGGTCATTACTTTTGGTCTCTGGTCTCAATTCCTACTTGGCTAGCTTCATTATTGGTGGCCCAGAATTTAGCTGATAAGGAGAGTTGGAAGCAAGGTTAGCTGCCTGGCAAAACCTACTTATGATGCTTTTGATAATTTTTGTCATTCTGTCAACTATTTTTTGTACTGCTAAATGGGTGGACTTTTTATGATTTTTCTAGGCAAAAGTAAACCAGAAAAGCTGGACTATTTACAGCATTTAAAAATGTGAGACTAGTCCTATAGTAACCCTGAAGGTACTCGTTATGGGATGAGACTATGTTAATTTGTTTTATGATTAGAGTAGGAAGAAGTAGTTGAAGTGATGTGTCCCATCTGTCTACTTCCTTCTTCCTTTTCTCTTGCCCCCAAAGAAGAGGCTGGAGATTCTTCAGGAAAAATAAAAAGATTAATTTTTAGAATAGATTTGTATTCTTGATAAGATTCCACTTCTTTGGTTTGCTTATAGGTCCTGTTATTGCCTTGGAGTTTAATGGAGATGGTGCTGTAGAAGGATGTCAAATTATTGTCAACGAGGTATTCAACGGAACCAAGGTACAAGATTTCACTGACCATTTATATTTCAGTCAAACCTTTTCATTTCATTTCATTTCTCTTATAGTCAAAGAGTACTTTTTAGCCCTGGTGTTGAATGAAATTTTAAAAAAGCAAATCATGATTTTTAGAATCTATGGTAAATAATGGGAAGCTAAGCTTTGGTTTTTCCCTGCCAAATAAAATTTTGATTGCTTAAAAATTTACAAAATAAGAATCTACTTATTAAAAACCATCAATAACACATACGTTTTAAAGTAAAACGTAAAAAGTCTCATCAAATGTGTCTTAAGGTCCTCCTTCCTTTTTTCAAAATATTGATATATCAAAAAATGTTACACAGGTGGTCCCTGACTTATGATGGTTTGACTTACGATTTTTCAACTTTAAGTGATAGGCATTCAGTAGAAACCATACTTCTAGTGATACGCAGGACCACAGTCTCTTGTGATGCTGGGTAGTGGCAGCAAGCCTCAACTCCCAGTCAGCCACATGATCATGAGAGTAAACAGCCGATATTCTGCAGTGTATTCATTGGCCTGGATGCTTTTCCCCAACTGCAAACTAATGTGTTTTGAGCACATTTAAGGTAGGCTAGGCTAAGCTATGGTGTTCAGTAGGTTAGGTGTATTAAGTGCATTTTCAACTTCTGGTATTTTCAACTTAAGATAGGTTTATTGGGACGTGACCCCATTGTAAGTTGAGGAGCATCTATATTTCTAAGATTATATACTTTAGATGGATGCTCTCATTGCCCAGTATTCATTTTTATTTGTTTCAGTAATGCTTCCTCAAAAATTGAACTTGGGCTATATCTAGAAATCATTATATGTAGATATTTTCTAGATATGTTGATGAGGTTCTGTTTTCAATAATTTCAGACCTAAATAACTTAATATAACTTAAAAAACAAACACATAAGAGGATTAAATGAGTATATATGTAACTGATTATTTTTTGATAAACATATCAGAGAAAATTTTTGGTTTTATAGTCTGATTTGGCTTATGGTGCCTTGAATTTGCATAATGTAAAGTACTTTGTCTTTTGTTTCATTTTATCATCAACACTACTAAGGAAGAGGGCAAATATATTGAATAGAAAAGGAAAAGGAAAAAATGGTTATATGATTTGGAGTTTTTAGATCAAATGAGTTAAAGATTATCTAATCCAACTTTCTCATTTACAGATGTGGAAACCGAGCCCAGAGGTTATTAAATTTTCAGCATCATACAGCTAGTTTATGATAAAACTAGAATAGAACTCAGGTCTCTTCTAGTTCCTGGCTGATTTTGTAAAAGCTATTTTTGAAAGATTCTACTGAGTACTGCTTTATTGTTTAGAAACTAGTTCATTTTAGGTTAGTGATATGTCTTTGGCAGCTTTAAAAAGATCTCATTTTGCTTCTCAACCTATTGAGATCACTACTAGAAAATAGAGCTAAGTTCTTTAAATAAACCTCTTTATTCAGTAGCTTTCATAATATTGACTGTTGTATATTTAAAAACAGTAAAATTCCAAGTGAAATAAAATACAACTGAAGTATTATGAAAGACCTTAATTACACCATAAGTACTTTTAAAAGGGTTCAATTTACATTATAGCTATTGAAACTATATTGCATGGATTCTATAGAAAATCTACAGATTAAATATTATAAATGATGTACTTGAATTTCTTTTAAATAACAAGCTTGTGGCTTTGTTCTGTGGAGAATCTGGGCTTTGGAATTTTGGGATTACTAGTAGTTATTTTGTTTCTTTTATATTTAAAATAGATGTTTGTATCAGAAAACAAGGAGACAGCATCTGGAGATGTAGACAGCTTTTACAACTTTGCTGATATACAGATGGGAATATGAAGTGCAATGTGGAACCAAGGACTTGGTATTAAGCCCCTTTCAATTTGTGTATTACCAGCGGCTTTTACTAAGGCTAAAATTATTAAAGTTGATTTTTTTTAATAAATTGTTGAATACTCCATCATTTATTTGAGGTTTGAAAATAGTTTATATTGAATTAAGTAGTTTTAATCAGCTTTAAAACTATTTAACCCACTTCAGTAAGCTTGCAGTTTTGATTCTCTGCATATGATACTGTTATTAGAAAGTGGAAGTGGCTAACGGATTATGATTTTAATCCTAATTAAATATTCTTTCATATCTCTGGTAATTTAAACTTTCCTCAGTGCTCCATGATATTTGTTTGAAAATACATTCCATTGCTTTCTTTTTTAATTTAAAAGGATTTGTTACTAGTTGATCAATTAGAATGAATGCAATATGCATTTTTTTGATGTATACATATCCAGTTTAAGAATTGCTTCCTGGGGGTGGCTCCATAGTGTAGTGGTTAGCATGTCTGCTTTACATGCAGAAGGTCCCGGGTTCTCACCCTAGGTGGAGCCGTGGACCATGCTCCGAATGCGCCAGGCCCCGGGTGCTAGTCGCGAGCGTGTGGGAGGAGATACCCGCCTTGAGAGATCCAGTTCTTAAGGGGGAAACGACAACATCCATAGGTCAGGGGTGGAAGTGGGGTGGAAGTGGGGTGGGGATGGGGGAATCAAAGAGAGGGAAATAAAAGAATTGCTTCCTAGTTGAATAATATGGCATGTGAGATTTTGTACACAGAAGTGACATAATACTTTGTAAATTGAATTTTTTAATAGGTATCTGATAACCAGTTTTGCAAGTAACTCTACTAACTGATGTTGGTATAGCTGTTTAAAGACTACTTTGTGAGTAGTGTTATTATCTGAATAATTTCCACCCTGTTTAGTTTTTAAATACAACTGCTAGATGACTCTTCTTCCTGGTAAGAAAAGGTATATGCAACACTAAAACTATAGAAGCCCAATTACCAACAGTTTTCAAAAAGGTGGTTATAGTCTCATCAGCTCCTATGGGCTATCAGAGTTAGAACAAAACCTTGTGATATATAGGTAAGAAGTACTTAGGCATGATGATAAACTGTGCAGATTAAAAAGCTAGATAAATTTAATTTTCATTAGATATGCCACTCATATCAAGTAATGTTCAAGCATGTTAAAATTATTTTGGTTGCTTTAAAGCACTGTTTTCCAAAGGTTGACTACCACAATGATTTACCAGGAGGCAGGGGACAGCTACTTGTTTAAAAGTCCACATTCTTGGACCCAATCCCCAAATGGACCGATTCAGTCTCCAGGGAAAACTCTGTTTTTAAGGAGTTTTGTTGTAATCTGAAGTAATCAGTTCAAAAGATGTGAAGAGGTTGATCTCGTAAGAAGGGACTGAACCTACCATCTATATCACATATAGCAGCTAATAGGAAATTAGTTTTCATAGGTCTATTTTAAAAAAGAACCTTTAATTCTATTTTGGTAAAACTAAGACTGAAAATAGCCACATGTAAAAGTTCCTCTTATGATTGTTACTAAAAATGTATTTTCATGTTTAAACTGTTTTTTTAATATTTTCAGATTAATGTATAACTACTACATTGAATTGTGTTGATATCCAGAAATAATAAAAGACTTTTCACTTAAGTGTAATATTGACGACCTACCCTGTGCCTGGCCCTGTGCTAACCATTAGCATTGCATCATTTCAATCTCTTTTATAAGAGCATTCTAAGCTACATAATCAACCTCTCCTTTAAATCAAAATGATTTCATAAAATGCAAATAAAAATTGGTGACAGGTTTAATATAATTTTGACCATAATTTACAAATCAGCTTTGCAAGTAATGGTCAAAGGACATTAATATTTCCCATAGTTAAGTTAAATTAAATATGTTCCTTCTAATCATGATTACATTATTAAACCCCATTATTCACATTTAAAACAATCACAGTACTTTTTGTTTTTCAAAAATATAATACAATGTTATGCAAAACTGTAAATTACATACTTTATTTTATCTATGGTATTTTATCAAAGACTCAGGTATATAACATATAAGACAGACCTTAATTTAAAAATTTCCACTAAATTTACTATTAATCCATGCCTAAAATTTTAAATTCTTCAGTTAGAAAAGAGCATATATCCAAGTCTAATTTGTCTTTAAGGACAGTCATTTGGCTTCTAAATGTTTGAAAAGATTTTTTAAAATAAGTAGTGTTACAGTTGTTGTTTTTATAATTCTAAACTTTGATAGTAATTATAGCATACTACATTTCATTTCTGAATAGCTTTTGAATTCATGAAAAATTAGTAATTTTATTAAGTTATATATGTGTAAACATTATATTAGCTTATTTCTCTTGATAGTACTGCTTCTGTTTTTAGTACTGTTTTTGTTTCTGTGTATTTATGTCTGGCTTTTGTAATTTATCTAGTGTTTATAAAATGTGATTTGTAATAAATGTTGTTAAAATGAAAATGGCTTAACACTAATTTTTGAAAAGCATTTCTCTAACATACATTTACTCAGACATGTGCCAAAATTTGATCATGACACAAATTTAATGATAAAAGTAAAAAAATATTCTAATCTGTCTTATGTTAATGAGAAACGAGCTGTATGCTGTGTGTGTGTGCGCATGTACACAAAGCACTCTGGAGAAATACAAAGGATGTAGAAAATCTATTTTATTTTTTAAAATTTTTTAAATTAAGTTTATTAGGGTAACATTAATACAGTTATATAATTTTCAGGTGTACATTATCATTTGACATCTGTATATTCTATTGTGTTTACCACTCAAAGTCCAGTTTGATTTAGCTACCATATATTTGATCCCCCTTACCCACTTTACCCTCCCCCTAGAAAACCTATTTTAATCTAAGAAATTTCCAGTATAATAGTTCATTTGTTAAAAAATACATTTTATTATGATCAAATACTTACTAAGAATAGACATCTTTCTCTTCCATGTTTAAGAAAACAATGACTTGTTTGTAATATATTTTCTTTCAGGTTTATACAAATGGACCTTATTTTTAAATTATGAACAAATTTACCAGCCTTCTGTACTCTTCTCCCTCTTGTAGCCTATAAATCAGAAGTACTGAAACTGCAGATTGGTTAGTTTTTAAAATAACATTTATTATTATTATTATTTCTATGTATAAAGCTTCTACATGTATAGTTAGAGCATTTGAAAAAAATGAAATGCACAAGACAGTAGCAAAAATTACTTCCCATTTATTGGATAATTCTCGCTGTGCTGAGTTTAAAATTTGCTTTTCTCTTTTAAAAGGGACACATTTAACTGTTCTCTATAGGAAGAGACGATATTATAATTAGAGTGTGATTACTCCTCCAAAATCCATTCTAGAAAATACTTTAAAAGTATAACATTAAAAGAGCCAGACTTCATTTGAATTTTAGTAATGAAAACTTTTTTTGTGTGAAAATGGAGTCATTCACTGTTGACTTGGTGGTTTTTGTTTTTTGGGGTTTTTTTTATTTTTATTTTTTAGTAGATACAGGAATACCTCAGAGATATTTTGGGTCCAGTTCCAGACCACCATAATAAAGCAAGTATCACAATAAAGTGAATCGTAATCTTTTTGCTGGTGGAAGGTCCTGCCTTCAGTTTGTAAAACCCGCAACACCTGTGAAGTTCAATAAAGAGAGGCACAATAAAATGTGTTCTGCCTGTAGAGTGTTGGGGGTGGAAGGTAATCAATCCCACTCACGTGAGAAGACAAAAAGCCTTTATACTACATCTCTCCTTTGACATTTTGGTTTTTAGTGGCAAACTCCAGCAAGCTGTTCAGAAATAGAAATTTCTTCCTTTTCTAATGTTTTGTTGCTTTCCTGGTGAGGGCGGGTTCTCACCTATAAAATGATGGTGAGGGAGCAGGAGCACAGGTAAAAGAGAGCCCTGGCATTTTCACCTCACTCTGATCCTCCCTCTGGGACCTGCCTTCCCGATTTCAGTCTAATCCGGTCCACCTGTAATGGGACTAATGAAAAGTCATTTGCAAGTGATGTGACAAGTAAACTAAAGTGCCTTGAAAATGAAAGGTACTTTATGAATGTTAAGTATTATTGTGCTGAGCAAAGTGAGTATGGTGCTCTTTTAAAGTAGTTCTGCTGTGAAGCCATATACCACCAACAAATAGGCAACTGAATACGAGAAAACAAGTATAAGAAGCTGGTAAGACTTAAGTGCTGTTTTCTTATTGATTGATGTACTCTCATTTGTCAAATGTAAGTCAGTTTGTTAGGCTCATTAATAAAAACGTTTTATATTATTTCACCCTAACTTCTAAACAGGTCATATATTAAATGATTTAAAATTTTATCTCATTAGACTCATCTAGTTTTAGGACTTAGAAGAGTCTGGACCTTTTTAATTCTTCATTTTACAGATGTGAAAATTGAGGGCCAGAAAGTTTAGATGTCCTATCCAACTCACCATAATCACTGAGCTACAATGTAGACCTCTTGACTTTCCTCCTGCAGTCACCGGAGAACAAAACTCAGCTTATCTGGCTCCTCCTATATAAAGCCTCTTCTAACACTCTCAGGTTGAACAGCATATTCCCTCTTTGGTGCTCACGCAGTACTCTATAGATAATTTCCAAGTACCTGTAACCCTTTATCCCATTTCTTTATCGATGCCACCCTTGCTACTCAAAGTGTGGTTTGTATACTAGCAGCATCAGCATCACCTGAGCTTTTAACAGTCTCAGGCCTCACTCCAGATTTGTTGACTAAGCTTCTGCATTTTAACAAAGTGTTCAGGGGATTCATACGCACATTAACATTTGAGAACCTAAACCATGAGTTCCTCAAGCCCTAGAATCAAGGCTTAGAAATCTTCATATTCCTAGAGAGTAGCTTAGTGTCCAGTAACGTGATCTATATTTAATAAATGTTTTTGAATGATATAATCTAGTGCTTCATTCTACTCTAGCAGACTTTAGTCTTTTCTGTAATTACTCTCTTCATGTACTCTCCTTGATTGACTTTGGAAAACATTGTTTTTCATTCCTCCCTATTTTGTGTTGAAATAGTAACAGCAGTCTCTGCCCACTGATTCTCTCCC